GAAATGTGCCCTGAGGGGCGCAGGCAGGGGCCCGAGAGGGTTTGGGGGGGGGGTTGGGGGGGCGTCTCTGGGGTGCTGGAGGAGCGGGGGCCCCATAGGGTGCCGGCGCTGTCCCCCGTAGCGTTTCAGGGGGTCAGAGACAACCTCATGGCCGGGGAGGGGGGTCCACAGGGTGCTGGAGAGCCAGGGACCCCCCACCCTGGGAGGTCCTTGGGGTGCCAGAACCCCCCCGGGGTTGGTGACTGCGGCGAGGAGGAGGAGGAGGACAGAGGCGGGTCCCTGCGCCCCGGTGCGCGGCCCCCGGGGCCTTCCCTTGAAGCAGGCGGGGGAAACTGAGGCAGGGAGCAGGGGCAGTTGGGTGCTGAGGGGGTTCTGTGGCAGGCCACGGTCATTACTCGCTAATTACGTACAGGTCTTGGCGGTGTCCGGGTTCCCCAAGGGGTGGGGATGGCCGGAGACCCCTGTATTTGCGGGAAGAGGGACAGAAGGGGGAGAGACTTCTCAAAAAAATCTCTTTTTTTTTTTTTTTAACGAGTTTCTGCCTTTTCCAGTGGACTCGGCGGAAACCTCCCTGCTGAACAAGCTGATCCGCACGTCCCTCGTGGAGTCCAGCCACCACGTGGAGATCCTGCAGCAGGACCCCAGCTCCCCGCTCTTCTCCGTCAAAACCTTCGAAGAGCTAACCCTGTGAGTCGCCAGCAGCCCCCAGCCCGGCAAAGCACGAGAGCCGCCGTCGTTTGTCAAACGGGCCCTTTTTGACGCCTTTTTTTTTTTTTTTTAACAGGAAGAAGGAGCTCTTGCAGGGGATTTACATCATGGGCTTCAACAGACCATCCAAAATCCAGGAGACGGCTCTGCCGATCATGCTGGCGTATCCGTGAGTAGTAACGCCACGCGGGTGAGCCCCGGTTCCCCCGAGGCATCCCCGGCGTCGGGACGCCAATCCGGGGACGCCCAACCCTTGCGCGCCGCTAAGCAGCCTTTGCCTTACAGGCCCCAAAACCTGATTGCCCAGAGCCAGTCAGGGACAGGGAAAACGGCAGCTTTTGTCTTGGCGATGTTGAGCAGAGTTAATGCCGCTGAGAAATACCCGCAGGTAACGTAGGAAAGGGAAAGCTGGTGCAGGAGGGGTTTGCCCGAGCCCTCGAGACGCTGCCCGGGGGGCAGAGCGCTGGGCTTTGTCCCCGTCTCTGGGGGGGACCAAAACCCCCCCCCCCCCCCCGTCACCCCAGCAGGTAGGACAGAAAGCGTGGTGCCCGCTAAAGGGGGTACTTCTTCTTGCTACCAGCGGATCAAGCCAGGCTTTAGATATCCTGGCATGTAAATTTTGAAAAGCAACTGCAGAGGCTGCTGGTTTTCTGGTGGCTTAAACGCCCCCGCGAGCCCCAGCCACCTCTCTCCGTGCAGAATCAGCTTTGCGAGCTGGTTACTGCGACGTAAAGCCTCTCGTCTCAAGCGTAGGGGGTGATTCGACCGGTTGCTTTAAAGCTGGCCCGCGAGCCCCAGCCACCTCTCTCCGTGCAGAATCAGCTTTGCGAGCTGGTTACTGCGACGTAAAGCCTCTCGTCTCAAGCGTAGGGGGTGATTCGACCGGTTGCTTTAAAGCTGGGCGCAGAAACGAACTGCGCCGTGCTTCAGGAGACAAATTCCCCCCCGCCCCCCCCCCCGCCCCCCCTCAAAAATAGCTGCAGCGACTTCTTTCTGCCTGCGTCCCTCGAGCTGTGCTGCGTTCCCAGCTCCCTAACCTCCGAATGCGACCGACTGCCCGATCCCCCTGCGCTTTTGAGGGAGTTCAGTGGCGTGGGATTTCCCTGTGCTCTTCTTTCTGTCCCTTCGAAATGCCCCCTTGTCTGCCCGGTGTACCTCATCCCGGGAGCGCCCTCGGCTTTTAAACGAGGCGCTTCTCGTCTGACAGCTCTCTTATCTCCCCCCAAGTGCCTCTGCTTGGCTCCCACCTACGAGCTGGCCCTGCAGATCGGGCGCGTGATCGAGACCATCGGGCGGTTTTGCGCCGACATCAAGGTTACGTACGCTGTCCGGGGAAACCGAGGTGAGTCCGGTCCCGCCGAGCAGAGCTACCGGCGCCGTTAACGGGAGCGTTGAGTATAGGGATCCTCTCTTAGAGCCTTGAGCTACCAGGAGCCGCACGGACCTCCGTGAAGGTGCATAAAACAGCGTCTATATCCCCCTCTCCTGCTAAGGAGTCTTTTTCACGACCGCTGGCTGCTTCCAGACTCCCTTCTTCCCACGTGGGGCTGGTTTCCACACACCCCCCCGAGGCTGTGGGGAAGTGTCGGCCCTGCTTGCAATTTTAACCTCAAGCTCCACTTTGCCGTGACCGCCTCAGAGGCCGGAATCTGAGATAACCCAGGGAAAAACGCGCTCGAGCAGCAGAAACGCGTCGCGTTCGGAGGCGGTCGGGTGCCATTGCCCCCTCTCGCAGTTCTGCAGGGCACCGCGCTGGAGGAGCAGATCGTCATCGGGACGCCGGGGACAATGCTGGACTGGTGTTTCAAACGGAGAGTCGTAGACGTGAAGAAGATCAACATGTTCGTGCTGGATGAAGCCGACATCATGATCGACACTCAGGGCCTCTCCTATCAAAGCATTCGCATTCAGAGGTGAGTATTCCTGACGGCTGGCATCCCGCTTCCCTGGTTTTTTTTTTCCCCCCCTTCTTTGCTGGGCTTTGAGGGAATCGGTCGCCAAACGAGCCGAATCGGCAGCGAAAGAGAAGCATCCCTGTGATGTCGAAGGGGCGTCTGGGGAAACGCGAGTCCAGGGATCCGGCTTTCTGTAAAACCTTTCCTTTGAGCCGTTAGAGCCCTTGGATTGGGTTCCCTTTCTGTTGAAGGCGACGCAAAATCAGCTTAAAGTAGCTTTTTTTTTTTTTTTTTTTT